ATGCCATTGATGATGTTTTGGAGCCGTTGGGGATTAATTTTCCAGAAAACAAAACAGCCCAAAACAAGGAGTATCGATACTTGGGCTAGGAGTATACGTATTTCCTTTGTAATATTTAAATAAATTAGTCGTTAAAGACTGTTGGGCTTAATAGTATCAATACTATGATTTCATGGTATCAATACTACTGTGTGAAGTAGTATTGGTACCAATTTTGCTTGTTTGAATTTGAACACTTTGGAAAACAACAATTAGTATCATTACTATCATGGGTGTATCGATACTTCTCTTATCTTTAACATCGATACTGCAAGAATAATATCGGCATTGTTCATGCAGTACTGATACTATAAGAACAGTATTGATACTACTTGTCTAGAAAAATTGTTTTGAGGTCAAATTATATTTAATGGACTTTAACTTGAATAAATTTAATCAAGTCCAAAAACATTTTGTCCTTAATTTGTTATATCAAAATAGATTTAATAGTTATTATGTTTATAACTTTGAGTAAAAACGAAAATAAGAATTGAAAATAATTATTGTAAATAAAATTCATTGTTTCGACGATATTATTGTCCAAAGTGGTGGGAATTGTGTAATACCTAAAAATTTGATATTCCCACCATTTTAACCAAAAAGCTACTATTGGAAAAATATTATTCTCTGGTAATAATATTTTATGTTAACCAAATGTAAAAATACAATTCCGAAAAAATTATTCCCCTTAGTAATGATATTTTCCACAAACCAAACGCCCCATTCAGAAAAAGAGACAATTGAATTCCATCTCACTAATTTTATATCATCTTTTGTTTGATCAACTCTCTAATTACAAGTTCAACTTGAAGAAAATTCAGAAGGTTGAAGAAGTAAGATGAATGTTAGATTGTTAATAGAAATGCTTAATATTTGTTATTTTGTTATTAGTTAGTTGCAGTTCAGTTAGTTTATTAGCAGGTTTTTTTGTCCGTTTTTACATTTATTAAAAATATATCCTAATGTCGTTCGGGAATTTTTATGGAAGTTTGTTCGAAACGCAAAAGCTTTCTCAAACAACTCATTTTTCAGCGAAAAGTTCACATTTGAAATGTAATTATTGACTCAAACCAAGAAGCTGGAAAAACGGTGGTTTTGCGTTAAAAAAACTCGATGGAAAAGCTCTTTTTGGATAACATTCCCAAACGAAACCAAGTAAACTTTAATTGCTTGTCTTTCTCTTCTTCATTCACCGTCTCCATTTGACTGTGCTTGACCACTGTGTCGAAACGTCGACATTTCAATAAGATTGAATATAAGAAACATGTGAAAATAAATTTATAAATATATATATATATATAAGATCGTTTTATTTAGAGAATAATTAGTTATTTTAATTTATATATTTTTTAAAAAAAAAGTTGTCATAATAATTAATTGTAACATGATAAGTAATCACAAGCTCGGAGGAAGACGCAAAACATAATGAGACTGTTTTCAAAGAGTTCAAATTCTCAAAAAATGTTTTCAAAGAATAATTAAAAAATGTTTGGAGCTTCACTTTTTGCAAATTCTCAAAAGCTTCTGTTCCGGTAATTGCAATTTCAAGTTTCCATCATTGGAGAAAGTTATTTTGAGGTAAATGTCCTTGGAGACGGAGGGTTGGGAGCAGCTGTGATCCCTCCAAATGTTCGGTGCAATAATATTTAATTTTTATTTAAAATTTATTTAAATAAGATTTTTACACGAACCAAAGACCTCCGTGATTAAAGAATTGTTGTTATTCTTTGAGGTCATTGAGTACCACACATGTAGAGATGTCTAAATGTTCAATATCAAATGATTAAGCGAACTTTTATATTGATTCAAAACAATTTAATCCCTCCCATACTTGGCTTTTTCACCTAAAAATCACCCTATGAACCTAATATACCCTAAATAACACCCTTTTACCAATATTTCCCTAACTAACACTCTTTCGTCTAAGGTGGCACAAAGGCGCGCCCCGTAACGCGCTTTAGCGGGGTTTGCTTATGTGGACATAAGACGCATTTCTGGGGAAGCGACTTCCAACTGATGTGGTGCCACGCTGGAAAGAGCGTTTCAGGGAACGCGTCTTTGAAAGAGCGTTTCAGGGAACGCACCTTTGAAAGAGCGTTTCAGGAAACGCGCCTTTGCTTTTTTTTTAATAAAGATTTAATGTTTATGGTTTAGAGTTATTATAAATGAATTTATTAAACTAATACTACAATTAATTTAAGGATTAAATTGTAGCTAACAATTAAATTTAGGGACATAATGTGAATGAAACATAAAAATTTAGCATGGTGATTAACGTAAAGTAAAAATGAAGCTTCAAATTGAAATAAATTAAACTATGTTAGTGACAAAAACAGAAAAATGCTCCTAAATTCAAGGGACCTAAAAATAATTTTCATTTTAGTGAACCTAAAATATACTAATAGTTAAAATGTTAAATTATGAAAGCATGACATTATAATTAAAACAATATCAAAAAGGGCATCACATGTGACTAAAACGTAAATTTATGCTAAAGTTTTGAGGGTATGAGTATGATTTTACTATTTTCCTAAAAGGATATATATAGGGACTAAAATGTAAATAAAATATAAAGATTCAATGGCTTAAGTGTGATTTACCCATAAATTCTTGCTATTTATACCATATTTTTTTTATTTTGGTAAACCCTAACCCTAAATAATATACCACCGCCTCTCTCTTTGTTTTCTCCTCTTGCCTAAAGTCCACCTCTACGGTCGAGACTCTTAAGAAAACACAGACAACTACGTTGGCTACCGCTTGACAAGGGCCACACCCCTCCGAATATCTTTAAAGAGCATCGTGAAACGCTTAAATTCTTTAAATGTGTATTAAAGGTGGAGTGAATTTAGGTTAAAGTGTTATATGTTTCGTTAAGGTGAAAGTGGTGAAGGATTTTGTAGGTCAAAGATTCATTAAGGTTGTGTAGGTTAAAGTACTTTAGGGTAAGGTTCAATTAAATTGAAAATGTTAATTACTTGAAGTAAGAGGTAAGTGGAAATTTTAGGTAAAAATTACACATACATTGGGAAATTATAGAAAATGCAATTACATTTAAATATTGGAAACAAAACATTCATTGAAATAGAAAATTCAATTACATAAGGGTTAACAGTTAAGTGAAGATAACAGAGCTGGACATTTTCTTTTTCTATTGTGCCCGATGTTTCTGTAATGCCCACATCTTTTTTGTTCTGTTGACCTCTCCCGAATATCCATATCACAAAGTATTCTAGTGGATTTTAGACGACTTGAGTCCTCAATAGCAACGGATATGGTATAATTGTAAGTCAAGTTTGAATCTCATATGGGTTTCTTTCGTTACCTATAGGCGGAAACTCAAATTCATATACCTTGAATACTTGTGAAAGTTGGTATACTAGATCAACATAATTTTTATAGTCCAAATGCGAATGTGATCAATATGTTATGACATGAGAGCATGGATATTTGAGTGCTTGAAAGAAACCACAATCACACCACCTCTCTTGCAGATTAACTCTGAAAGAGTTAGCTTCAATCCCTTTAAGAGAACGTGGCATTTCGGTTACACGAAATAATTCATGGGTGCGAGAAAATTTTTAACCAACATCTCATTTGAAGCAACCACTTTTTTCTATATATCAACTATTAGTCTTGGTCGTTCTATATCAAAGTAAGAGATTGTCCACCGAGCTTTGCAAATAGTTGACCCAAACAAAAATAAGTCGTTTTGACCAACGCCGTGACTGGAAAATGACGCGCCCCCTTTAAGGTTGAATTGATTTCTTCAGCCAAGTTGGTTGTCATATGACCATAGTGATACCCCCCGTCATAAACATTTGTCCACATTTCTTTGCTGATGTACATAATGTACTCGCACTTCTTATTTTTGCCAAACAATTCTTGTAGCATAGACTCAAACCTTTGAGGTAAGAGTTCGTAATCTAAGCCATTAAGAATATGTAATAGTTAATATGAAGTATAAATAAGTAATACGAAAATGATTAAAAAATGGAAAAAAGTAACATATCCATGCGCACGACTAACTGACGTTCATCATTATTCTTGTATTTTCCATAATAGTTTGCATCAATATGACAGACACAATAACGATGCTTAACATGTGGAGGTTTCTACATTGGACCCAAAGAGTCTATTGCTGCTTTTATTCTGGCTCCTCGGTCTGAAATAACGCATACGTGTTCCCTTGTGACAACATGTAAACGTAATTTTTTAAGAAAAAAAACCGAAGACTCAGTGTCTTCTCCTTGATGGAGGGCAAACGCAACAGGAAGAATATTACAGTTACCATATTATACCACAGCCCATAATAAAACTTTCTTGTATTTCATATACAAGAAACTACCATCAATTTGCACACTGGTTTACAGTACTTCACTGCATTAATACACTGAGGGTAAGTCCAAAAGACACGGTAGAATTTGCAGCTATCGCGAACCACTAGAACATTCACGTAATGATGTTGAGTTTCGACTCAACAATTGTCCTGGGATTAAGTCTTTGCATAACATGAAACCAACTAGGCAGCTCGTTGTAAGAGAAATCTCATTTGCCATTAAGTTTGACAATGGTATTCTGTTTTGCCTTCCAAGCTTTTTATAGGAGACGATGTACCCATATTTTATTGTATAGCAGAAATCAACATTGCAACAGCTATATGAGAGGTTTTCTTCACAATGAACATTATAGCTTGGCAAATAATATTGGAGTTCTGAATGGGATGATCCTGGTTTATACCTCTTGCACAACACGTATGAGAACCGTTGTATCTGGTTAGTTCTCATAAGTTATTCTTCCTCTCTCTCTTTGATACACGAACCATCCACTTACATCCGTTGTCACGTTGAACACAGTAACATACATATTTCTCTGTGGTAGATCGATCAACTCGGGAGTGAACTGAGTTACGAATATTGTAACTCTTTATTACCATCATTGCTTCCTCTTTCGATGCGAACTCCATTCCAATATGTAAATCACCTTCATTGACTGATGACTAAGTCCATAGTTGCAATCATTAGGGAGATCCGGAAATTCAGGCTTGTACATTGCATTATAATCAATCTCATACATATGTGAAGAAAGTTCAACTGGTGTTGTATTTATGAGAACGTCATCCTCATCCTCATCAGAGTATATGTTAAACTGTGGTGAGTCAGGTTCAACGAATAATCTCGTTTCAATACCATCTGCACCTGGCTGTTGTCTCGATAATCCAATGTTGAGGTCAAATAAGTTGCCACTTGCGTATCTTCCCTTGAACTTGAAGCAATTGTATCATGTGGGTTTTGAACAAACTGTTGTCTCGGTGGTATTTCCATGTGTAAGTCGAAAACAGTGGTAGATGAATGTCTACCCCTTGAAGCATAAGAGATGTTGCCACATGGATTATTGGTGAAGCCACATGGGCTGAGATCATAAGCAGTAGCTGATGAATGCCTTCCTATTGAACTTGATGGCATGGCATCTGGCGTTGAATTTGCCATTAATGATGTGAAATCATTACATATCAGTTGCGTTGGGCTATCAACTTGATCAGCTTGGTACGCAATGCCAAAGTGAGATGAATATGAAAAACCACGAAAAGCACAAACCTCAATAAAAGTGGTATACATTTCAATAAAAGATGAAATGATGTATATATGAGTGGAAAAAGTTCAGTAGGAAATCTATACTGAAATGAATATAGTCTCCTCCGGCCTACTACACGAATCTTTAATGATTTTTTTGTGATTAACTCTTCAAGAATGATGTTTCTCTTCAAGGTTAAGGGGATATAATGATCTGATTCAAAAACAACCCCCTCTTCAGATTCCTGAATTTCTCCATCATAGAAAACAACAGTAGAAAGACGACTCATTTTCAGAGAATACAAGTTTGAGAGTTTTGAGAAATTTAGAGTATGAGATTTTGAAAGCTTGGGAGCAGATGTGTGTTTTGAAAGTTTACAATACGTTGCATATAATAATGCCTATAACTGGGATACTATTTACGTGAAAGCGCATTTCAGGGGATGCTCCATCCCTTTTTTTGTTAGATAATAGGTTATAATTTCCCTATCATGTGTGATATCCCCCGACGGGACACTATTTATGTCAGTACTATCATGTTTGAGGGGACACAAAAAAGTGATGAAAGTGCGTTTCAGGGGGGCGCCTTCCCTTTTTTTATCAGAGAATAGGTTATAATTGCCCTATTATGTGTGATGTCCTCCGATGGGGCACTATTCATATCAATATCTATCATGTTTGAGGGGACGCAACAATGTGGTGAAAGCACGTTTCAGTGGGTGCGCCTTCCCTTTTTTTGTCAGAGAATAGATTATAATTGCCCTATTATGTGTGATGTCCCCCGGCTGGACACTATTAATGTCAGTACCTATCATGTTTGAGGGGAGGCATCAGTGTAGTGAAAGCGTTACAGGGAACACGCCTTCCCTTTTTTTCAGAGAATAGGTTATAATTGCCCTATTATGTGTGATATCCCCTGATAGACCACTATTCATGTCAGTACTTATCATGTTTGAGGGGACGCAACAATGTGGTGAAAGCGTATTTCAGGGGCGCACCTTCCCTTTTTTGTTAGAGAATAAGTTATAATTACCCTATTATGTGTAATGTCCCCCCGCGGGGCACTATTTTTGTCAGTACCTATCATGTTTAAAGGGACTCAATAATGTAATGAAAGCGCAGGGCGCGTCTTCCCCTTTTTATAGAGAATAGATTATAATTGCCCTATTATTCTTGAAATTTATGTTTGAAATTTATGATAGAGTGTTGAATTTAATGTTAGAATGTTAAATTGGATTATTTTTTGAAGTTGAGCAAGTTAAGGATAAAATCATGCTATATGGATAATTTTAAGTTCCTAACTTAAATCAAAGTGTTATGTGAAGTTTGGATAAATTGGATAAAAATGAGTTAGAACGGTTATGTTGAAGTGATAAAGTCAACATTTATGTTTTGACATTGAAATTGTATCGAATGAGCATCGAATGTTTTTACGAATTATTTTCCATTTGAGCCTATGTTAATAGGATTATAACACGTGGCTTGTAATGTATATGTTTTATAATGATGCTCATTAATTATTGTGAAAATATTTTTTAAATAATTTTTACAAGACAATGTAATTTAAGTTTCAATTGTAATGTTGTTTCTTGGTGAACTATAACTGGAATATAACTTTGAATTTCGAATACAATTTTAAATTTTAATTGAAATATTAAGTTAAATTTGGATTTACATTTTAAAAATATTTAACAAACATTTAATGTTGAATTTAAATTTAAATTTTAAAAATATTGTTGTAACAACTATTAAACATTTAAATAACATTGTAAAATTATATAAAATTGTGAAATACAACTATTTAAATAACATTTAAATACAATTGGATCAACGATGTCGTCTTCTCGAATGAGTTCTACATGGTGGTGGTTATTTATTTCGTTGAGATTTCTTTATATAACTTGCTCTTCATTCTCCTCATCTTCACTATCATTCATTATCATCGACATTTTGTTCATTTGAAATAGATGATGATGAAGGGCATGTATAAAATAACGATCCTGGAGGAGTGTTACTAACAATCCCAACGCTCATAGAGAATTGAGAAAACTATGAAAATATTAGCATCGATGTTTTTGATCCAGATGGAGTTTAAGTGTTTGTAGAGAAGTACCACCAGCCAAATAAGATGCATATGAACCATATGTTAGATTATTAAACAAAATCGTATATGCATCTTCATAGGTTGTCATAAAACTCTGCGGGCTGGGCATGTAACCTTGCGAGCTGGGTATATACCCATATGGGCTAGGATTGTAACACTGTGGATATGACATATGAACTGATAGGCTTGGCATATACCATTGTGGAGATGGTATCTGAACTGGTGGGCTGGGCATGTATCCCTATGATATCATCAGTGGATATGGATGTTGTGACGGTTCTGGTGGTGCGACTGATGTCGAACCGGTAGCGGCTTCTCTTCGTCCATGAGTCGGGGGACGATGATCTTGTGAGAGTGGATGTCTATCTCGGCGCCTATGAATGCTAACCCCTCGTGCTTCCGCCGAAAATAGAAACGACTTTCCGTTTTCACTAAACCACTCCATATAGTTATCTGTAACCATATGACCAGTTTCAACGTAAAACGGTCGAGGGGGCAAGAGTTCATACCAATTTTCCCAAATCGCAATCCAATCTCTGTGCTCCCCCACCCAATTGACCTATTTCTTTCCTCGTCTGTCTATGTTATGCATGTTGTCTAAATTCATAGGTGCTCAAGGAATATATTACGTACAACAAAACTGACGGATCGCACGATCAACCGGATGCCACTCAACAATAGCATAATATATAAGAGGTACAACTGACATCCAAACATCTAATGACTCACTCAGGTAGGGTAAGATACAAGTCTTTACTTTATCGCTCGCATAAGGTATTCACTGAAACATAAATATATAATTCTAATAAATATAATATTATAATTATATCAAGTATTTTAAATTAAATTATTCATATTTAAACATATTTAAAAACATGTCTCAGACTCAACTTTTTTATCAATAATTAAACAAATTTCCTCTAGTTCAGTAGGAATATCTCTATGATTCTTTCTTTTCATCGACAACCTATGAAATATAATATAAACTAAATATCACCTTATTTAATTAAAAATATTTAAATCAAAATTTAATTCAGAAATTACCTCAATAAAAAAGGGAATATGTATGACTCATTAACGATCGGGCATAAGAAAGGCATGCGGAACTACACCCATGATTGGAAAAGCAGGAGACATCCACCGATAGCATTTTTTTATAATTCGTTACACGACGCATTTCTCTAAAGAGAAATGCCAAAATTGCAACGCCTCAACAATATATTCATGCTTCATCAAAATCAATAAGATGATGCAACCGCATACAATGCACCAGGTTGCGAGATTTATCGGTCATTAATATTCCTCCAATGATTCGTAATATATAAGCCCGAGCACATGCTTTTGCTTCATCCTTAGAAGCATTTTCATTCAAAACATCAAAATTGACTTTTAACCATGATAAAGCTATTCTACCTCCATTGAAATCTTACGGAGCTGCTCCAAGATACTTCATTCATATTGAATGTCAATCACCATCGGCCACACCACACATAATATTTCCATCAACGGAAAGCCTCAAATGCATTAAGACATTCTCCAATAATTGTACACTCTCCACATGGAAGATGAAATGTGTCTCCGATCTCTACCTCAACTAATGCGGAAATTAGGATGGGTTCGAATTTACAACTGCCAATAACTTTTGCAATATACACGAACTAGGCAAAAGACAGATATGGCAAAATACATGTTGGTGTCGATATCTTCGTGTTTTTAATAAATGTCTCCAAAATACGATCATTCTCCTAATTAATAAGCATTTCAAAATTTTAAAATTAATACAAATACATGATTAATTTAAATTAAAAATAATAATAAACATTAAAATAAATTTAAAAAATATTACAATATCACTAAAATGTTTGGAGATATGATTTGCATTTAATCACAGTAGCGTTTCGCTTTCCATTATAACTGTAGACAAAAAAAATAATTGGCACAAATAATAATTATATAAATATTATTTTAATAAAAAAATAAAATATTATTTTTAAAAATTATTTATAAAAATTATTTAAAAAATATATTAATTTTAAAAAAAAAATTATTATCACTAATAAGAAATTTTAAACTCAAATAAAGGAAGAATTTGAGTTATATTAGAGGAATAGATGTTTTGGTGTGAAGAGTGAGGGGAGTTGAAGGAGTTTATATAAGGGAGGAGAGGGTGTTAGGTGGGGAAAACGAGTGGGAATTAAATGTATTTTAATGAAAGACGCACCCCTGGAAACGTGCTTTACCTACGTATCACCGAACCCCGTGAAAGCGCACCCCTGAAACGCGTCTTACCCTCGTGGCATCCCGTCAGCAGAAACCCCGCTAAAGCACGTTTCCTGAAATGCGCATTACCTAAGTATCAATCCAGACAGTTGAAACCCCGCTAAAACGCGTTACCGGGGGCGTGCCTTTGTGTCACCTTAACGAAAGGGTGTTAGTTAGGAAATATTGGTCAAAGGGTGTTATTTAGGGTATAATAAGTTCATAGGGTGATTTTTAGGTCAAAAAACTCTCATTCTTCACACCAAAACATCTTTCTTTATAATATAACTCAAATTCTTCTTTTATTTGAATTTAAAGTTTCTTATTAGTGGAAATAAATTTATTTTTAAATTAATATATTTTTTTAAATAGTTGTTATATTTTTATA